TGTATGTGTGTGGAAACACACACACACACACACACACACACACACACACACACACACACACACACACACACACACACACACACACACACACACACACACACACACACACACCTGTTGTGTTTTCACGATGAACTCTCCTCCTGCAGCGTCACTTTCGTCGCTGCAGCTGTGATCCTGAGCGTTCCACTGACAGCGCCACTTACTGGTCACACACGCTATACACCTGCAAACACACAGTATTAAACACACACACACACACACACACACACATGATTTAAGGCTGATTGTGTGTGTGTGTTTATGGTATATCTCACGGTGTGTTCTGGTTCTTCCGGACTGTCGCAGCACAGTTGTAGAAGTGATACTCTCCGGACGTCACCTCGATTTTATCGTTCACTATGACTTTAACTGGGACGGACACGTAGTCTGAAAAACATTAAACCATGTAGTTTATAGGTATTTAAAGGAATAAGAAAAGAGGTATCAATCTAATTATTCTATTATTGGAAAGGAAGTAAATAGGCTTACAGTATTACCCAAAATATTAAATAATTTCTCCATCTTTTTTTAGGTTTAAATGCAATTTCAACTATTAAAAAATGTGATAATTGATTCATTTTTTACAGTTTTTTCAAACCTACTGGGTCATTTTGAACAAAGACATATACATTGTGTTGCTCCCATAAAAACATGGTAAAAAATTGTTTTTGATTAGACATATTTTGCACATTTTGTCCTCTCAATGCAAAAAAAAGAATGAAATAAAAACTTAAATAAAACTAATTAAAAATAAATAAATGATAAATTAAACACAAGAAAAATATCTATTAAATGTAAGTAAATCAAAAAGTAGACAATGAAATCAAATACAAATAATTAAAATAATTAAACAAATCATTCTGTCTGCTAAAAAAGTCAGAATATATTTTCCCATGAATACATTAAAGCGTTTCCTACCCTGCTGCTGGGTGGTGGGGGGGATGCCCACGGGGTCGGGCAGCGCACATGTGACCTGCAGCTTCCCGTCCTCA